ACAGTGTAAGCTTGGCTCCTGCGGCTATTAGCATACACGGCTGGCAACATGCTTAGTTGGGCTGCTGTTAGCATTACAGCGGCGCGTTTGCGTTAGCAGCTCTGTGTAGCCTAACATACTGTCGCTCACTTAACAGAACAGCTGAGTGCAAGAAAAAAAAAAACATTTGCAAAACTTGTAGAATAGATGTTGGGTTTAATTTGAATTTCTTATTTAAATAGTTATTTTTTTTTAATTTTCAGAGCTTTGTCCACACCAGAGCAACAATACGGCATTCTCATATAACACTGTAGACTTCTGTTCCTGCTGCATTTCCGTGCTGTCCGCCAGGCTTGTGTTGTTGCAATCCTCGTGCTTATCACCGCCTGCTATGAAATGATACTGTCCGGAGCTGCTGGCCAATATGGGCAGGTTGGGATGAAAGCTGATGCCATTGCAGCAGTCGCCGTGCAACGGCAGCTGCAGCGCCGCCGGTTCCCCGGCTGCCGCCAGATTCCATAGATTGAGGCCACCTTCGGTGTCGCCGCTGGCGAGCCAGGTCTGCTCTGGATTCAGGTCGAATTGTATGCGCTGATTGGTCTTCACCTGACGCTGAAACTCGCGCAGCGGCTTCTTATAGTTGCGCATGTCCCACTGCAGCAGCTTCGGGCATTTGCGGGCACCGCTGAACAGCTGCCAATTGCCGGAGGCGTCTGTGCCATAGCGCAGCTGTGTTATGCCCGCCGTGTGGCCGCCCAGCGTGAAGAGCGGCCCCTGTTTGGGTGCACAGCGCAGGTCAAAGTGCTGTATATAGCCGTTCCAGTTGCCACAGGTCACCGTGTGCGGATGCTCAGCGGTCTGAGCCATGCAGGAGATGGCAAACTTGACAGCATACTCGTCATAGCTGCGACCCGGTCGATTCGTGTCAAAGATCTTGATACAGCGCTTATAGCCCGCATAGATCTTCTGGCCATCATGCGCGAAGGCAAGCGATATGGCGGCCACCACCTCGTCCACCTGATCGTAGCCGCTGTAGCTGCAGCGCAGTCGTCCATCGAACGCATCCCACATGTGTATGGGTTCATGTTGGCGCGTGGCCAGCCAGCTAGAGGCCAAAGCAAGATATTGGGTCAGTAGATGCAGTGCAGCAGCAATATATAGCTAGTACATACAAACAGGTCTCCGGCTGCTGGCTGTTCATCAGCGGATACCAGACGCAGTCATAGACGGTGCCGCCCTCGGGCACATGCACAGCCGATTGCAATTGGGACAGGCTGCGCTTCACCGAGACGTCGCTGGCCTCGTATAGATCCAACGGCAGCTCCATTACATGCATGCCGTCCAGGTGAACGGGCGACAGCAGACAAGTGCCATCTGGCGACCAGTAACAGCCCTTCGTATAGTGCTGTGCCTCCGCCGTGGATGGCCAGCAACGGCGACCCACTTCGACCAGCTGCCTCTCAAAATACACCGTGGCCGGTGCCGGCAGCGGCGGCGGCGATTGCGGCTTGACTGTAGTGCTGCTTATTTCCTGCTCCACCATTTCCTTCTCCTGCGGCTGTAGCAGCTCATCGACTGTATCGTCCACGCTTATGACATGCTCGCTCTCCTCTTCTATGCCGCTGCATTCCTCCAGTTCTATGCTGCAGCTCTGGTTGTTGGACACATCCTTGAGTGCGCTGCGTTGGCTGCGATTGATGCTGCTCTCGTCAGCCGATGCCTTGTACTGCTTCAGCTGGCGCCGCTCCGTTTCGCTCAGAGAGAAGCTCAGATCGGGAAATGTCCCTGCCCTGCCAGCGACGGAGGCCGCGGGCAAAGTCAATTCCATGCTGCTGTTAAAGCTAACATTGTGATTGAGCAGGGATGGCGATGTTTGTTCTATGTCGGACATGGCCACGCTTGCGTCGGCGGCTGTGCGGCGTTTTAACTGCGTGAGTTATCCCAGTTTCTTTTATAAACCTTGATCTGCTGCCTACTTACACGATTTGTCCACAGCGGTTATTTCATTTCGCGTTAAATTCACGCTTGGTTGCAGTTATCGAATTGCTATCGATATTTCGCTTGCGATATATGTTATTAGAGTGACCATGTTAGTCAATTGGGCTGACCATATGCTGCCAAATATCAGTCAGCTGCGCGTGTGGAGTAAAACGACGTGAAATTTAAGGCGGAACGTGGCGCAATTGAAAATGGTGAAAAATTATCTTTCAAATTGGTTATTTACGTGGCATTTGTGTTATTTGTGCATAATTAATTGCGAATTGACTATAAGTTGCCATAAAACTTAGCGGTGCACTGGATAAAAAGCAGCAGCACACAGGTATGTATGTAAATTTTTTCTTTCTTTTTCATTTACAGTTATTTTTTCTCAATTGTGGTAATTAAAACGTGTTGGGCCATTTGCAAGCCTATTCTAAAGCTGTTGAGTACTGTATATTGAAACAGTTATATTTAATGAGTTTTAATGCGTAAAATCTCTTTCTGCATTTTGGCATGGGCTTCTGCACAGATCATTTGATTGTGTTAAACTTCCAAGGTTAAAAGTTCCAGGCTGGAATACTAGCGTATATATGTATGTGTGTGTAAATGAACATTCCTGTTTATATGTATGTGCTTATGTGTATGGCAAATTTATTGCGTACTGCACTTTTGTACAGTTATATTGAATTTTGTTAGCCTGCTGCTCCGTACAGACTCTGCCCCCCCTCTCACTCTCGTCTCTTCCCATGTGCTATCGCAGCATCAGATCACTTGCGTGCGCTGAAGTAACTGTTCTTGGCTGGAATAGATTTACATGTATGTTTATATACAAGTGCACATACATACATATGTACACATAAATAAATATGATATACATATGTATGTATGTATGCACATGCTATGTGTTCCTAGACCTGACTAGACTAATTAGACAAGTTAATTTGGCTATGTAACAGGATTATATTTGCATAATTATGTGTGTGTGTGTGTGTGTGTGTGTGTGTGGGTGGACTCGGTTGATTAAATTTAGTGCCAATTCTTGCCGTATGTGCAGTCAGAAATTGGATATGAATTAGCTGAAAGTGGATTGCATTAAGTCGGTGGTTTGGAAAATTCCAGCCAAACTGTAAATTATACGCTGTGCACAAAGTGAAAACGAGCTTATAGGGCTTTGGCAATTTGTACGCAATATATAATTTAAAATCAATCGTTTTTTGTTTATCAGAAAATAAAAATAAGAATTGTTTGTAGAGCATATAGAATTCGTGCTGATCGCCTGCTTTTGGGGTCGCATTGCAAAAAAGTTCAGATTGGGTTTAATGTACTTCAGTTATTGCCCTCGTAATTGTTATTATAAACAAGAGCTCGTCAATATATTGCGATTTGCGTATTGCATTAGAGCCTCCGGCTTTCGGCAGGGCCGAAAATTCGAGTGTTAATCCTACAATTCGATTTGTTAACGGAACGCTTTAAGCCATGGCTAAAATGCGGCTCACGTTCGAGCCGGCAAATGGTCTCGAAAAGTGTATTCTAATTTGAATTGAACGCAATGCAATCGAGCATTGACATTTCGGTAAACACGTTGACAGTCGAGGGAATGCGGGGAGGTGGAAGCACACGTGCCGTCAAATCGAAATTTAAATTTTGATCAAATTACAATATATTCTTTATTCCCGTTTTACTATTATTATTATTATTGTCATTTTTTTCTTTTTTGCCTTTGAGTCAATTAAGTAAAATGCGCTTTGGGGCGTGTCAAATGAAATATTTACACAGCTGTCCAGCCCCGAGGGAGTAGAAAAGCATTAAAATAGTTGAAACTGGGCGTTGTCCTCAGAGCTGGCTGGGCTCCCTGGTCGACCCGCAAACAGCCAGGAAACCCAACCCGAATCGTCTGCTTTTCAATTTGTTCATCTGCGTGACTTTGCTTGGGGCCTGCTCCTTTTGGGCTTGTGTTGGCTGCATAACTTGGCCTTAAGTTTTAATGCTTCGACTTAAGTCACATATTTATGTATGAGACTGGCCCTGGCTACCGGTCCCGGTCTAGGTGGTAGTTTTTGGGCTTGGCGCCAGGTGAGTAGCTGGAAAAGCTGCACCCTTGCGGTATTTCCTTCATTGTTAGAAATTTAAGCTAAAGAAAGCAGATTTTTAAAGCAGCTTTATCAAACAATCTTCAGATATCTATCTGAATCTATATCTGCTCTGTTCACAAACTGTTTTTTCTTTTTTTAATGTCAAAAGGCATTTAAAATATCAGAATGTTCGCTTAAAATCCATTGTCAACAAAAAAATAAACGAAATCTCTTCAAGGACAATCAAATACAATTTGAAGCTAATTTATGTACTCAACCAAAGCCTCAAGTGCGGCAAGTGAAAATTGTCTTTTAACCTACGAACATGAATATTCATGACAGAACCTTTAGTCCTTGCGGAATGCCGCTCTACTGTAATGTTTCGTTTCGCTCATTGTCAACAGGCCGAAAAAAAGGATACAAGGCAAACAAGTAAATCCTGCCGAGCTGTGCAAAAAGCCAAAGATACCCGTCTAATGAGTCCCACATGAATGCTGTGCAAATGACTTTCTGGTCGGACGCCTTCAAATAAACTTATTCTTTATTTCTTTTTAAATGATATTGCCAGTTGTTAGAAGAATGGCTAAATTATGCGAGATGAACAAAAATAGAACAATAGATTTCGCCAGAAAGATGTTCTATTTAGAGTAAAAGTATTGGGGAAACATATTGTTGTTGATGAGGTCGAACGTGGGCGTGGCAATAAAACCTATAGATGATTTCAACTCTTAAGTTTATCAGCATGACAGCGAATCCTAAATTTGATTCGGGAATTGTTAGATCCTTCTATTTTATTTTGTAATGATTGTTCATGCTGGAAGTTATATCAAGCTGTTATTATTTTTTTAAGGATATGATATACATTCTCTATCATTTAAATACTATTTTTTAGATAGATACACAGTTAAATCCTGTGAATTATATAATGATAAAGTTTCTAACAAAAATAGATTCGTTTCATTTGATCTGTTATCGCTTTGCTGATATTCTTTATTTTTATACATATTTTTTTGAACAACTGTGCATTTGCTTTATCTCTTATAAGTATGACCATCAAATGTGGCAGTGTTCTTATTGAATTCATGACAAGTGTTTACGCATAAATATTTTAGTTTAATATTGCCAAGGACATATTCCGGAAAATTGTTTAGCAAATCCCCAAAACGACTTTGCTAAATTTGCTTTGGCAAATGCAGACAAAACTGTCGCGACTTCTAGGCAATTGTCAAGTGCTTCGTATTTTGTTGTTGTTGTTGTTCATTTTTATAGAGCACATAAGCGGCTTTACACGCTTTGCAGTCATAAATAATTCACTTAAGCTGCAGCAGTAGCAGCAGAAATTGGCAAGTGAGTGTCATTAAGATGGCGCGACTGTAGGATACCCTGCTTTGAATGGGCTCAGAGCTCAGATCTTCTGGCTCTAACAGGAATTTGTGCTAGTCGGGTATACCCGTTGCTTCAATGGCTACAGTGTATTGGCACTAAGGTTTTTTTTCGACACATGATTACTCCTGATGAGTTTGATGCTATCCCATGTAAAAGATTGATGAGCTCGAAAGTATCTCAAGGTTGTTCCACTTTTTGTTCTGGGTTCGTTGCTTGTGTTTGCCTGCAAATATGTTGGGCAAATAGAGAAGTGTATTGGTTAAACATCAGATAAGTTAGCACTCGGTTGGGATTCTGTGAGGGTTTCTGCTATAAAACCTGCGTCAGTTAAATGGCAAAGACACAGTAACCCATTGATACGTTACCAAGATGTACCAGCTCCTCGTCTATCTCAGCTGCTCCATGCTGCTGGTGGCTGCTGTCACCGAGTTGCCTGAGGAGACAATCACAACAGATGCCTACTCTGAGTTTCCCGAAGATTATACATTGTCTGAGCTGGAAGAGCCTAGTGCTGAGGAGTCGGATTTGATGATGGTGCATAAAATCAACTGGAGCGTCTATGATACGCCTTTCGGCAGGCAAGCCCGGGAAGTGCACCAGCCGGAGCAGCTGGCCGATCCTGCTTCGCACTCAGCCACTGAAGTGGAAAGTCACGCGGAAAAAGAGCAGTCATCGCTTCCACGTGATGGCAACGCATGTCCCAGCAGCGCAGAGCGTGGTTTGACCAGCCTCATTCGCAAAGCTCGTCCACTGTTGCCCGCGGAACGTTTGCGCAACATTTTGGCCAATGCCAGGGAGGACGGCGAGGTCCGTGAACTGCTCCAGCTGCTGCGCAGCGATCAGTTCAAGGAGCGTGTAACGCGTCTGCACAACACCAAGGAAAAGGGCGTGCTGCGGGATTATGTGTGCCAGACCCTGAAACTCAACCATGCCTACTACTTGGAGCATGTGCGTCTGCTATTCAATGCTCAGTCCTCAGAGCCTCCCAGCAGTCCTTTGCCCAATCGCCGAAAGGGCGTGCGCGGACTGTTGCAGGATCTGCGCGATGCAGTGCCGCGTGCACAGCTTCGGGAGCTCTATCGACGCCAATTCGCGTCCGATAAGGATCTGTCCGAAGCAGTGCGTCGCATACGTGGCACCGAATTCCGGCGCCTGCTCAGCAATGTGCGCGCCCTGCCAGAGTATCGTGCGGTGCGGGATGATCTGCAAAAGGCCGGCGTGCCGTTGCAGCAGGTGCTCAATCTGGTGGCCACTTCCCTGGGCTCGCCTACTCTGGATTTGGGCAGTGAGACGGAAATATTAAGTGGCTGAGTTTGCGACGAATAATAGCCATCAATTTTGCTAGCTATTTATAAAATAATATTTCTCATATCGATATCTTTTTCAATTAACGCAAATAATAAACTTTTGTGAATATTCTGCTAGCAGGTATTTGCCAAAATGCTCTTAAAATTTGCAAAACCTATTCAACAATTTACATGCATTTAATGTATTTTATCAAAAATAATACTCTTTTTAATCTCTGCATCTTCTTAGTTCAGAGATTATTTGTCTCCACCGTCAAATATTTCGTTGTGCTACCTTTTCTTTTGCTCCCCCCCTGCGCTGCATGTCATCTTTGTATCTTTTACACCTGTGATTATCTTGGCGTTGCGCTGCCTGCCGTGATATCAATTGCTTAGCAGCAGGCCGCTAAATTTATAGCTTCGTCGTAGCAATTACAACAGGAATGTTGTGTGACGTGTGTGCGTGACAAGAAAATACCCTGTAATCATTTTTTAAATAACTTCTCTAGATGTGACTTGCAAAAATTGCTGTGTGGATAAAATAATCCATAAAATTGTGTTTGTAATAGACGAACTGTCGAAAATGTGCATTGAGCGTGTTTTAGCTGATATAGCTGATATAATCACGTACTAAATATTCTAGTTCTAGCTCTTTTGTTCGCTGAGATCTCACAGACAGGCGTCTATATATATTATATATATCTTCTCAAGGGTTGGCGCTGTCTACTGCTGTCTGTCACATGCCCTCGGACACCTTTTTTTGCCCAATTGAATGGGAACAGGGTGCATAAAAATAGTGAAGATTTTTGGACTCGACTCCGGTTGAGACTCGGTCCATGACATGTTTATATTTGGAGGCAGTGGCAGACGCTGCTGCCACGAAACCACTTCAAATTCGTTCAGGGTCAAAATCATTAGAGCAGACAGTTTTCCAGTTGCCGCATGCTGCCTGTCTTGCCACGCGGCATAAACAAAAAAAATGAGAAAAAACAAATAGCTGCTGCCACACATGTTGCTTGTCGACGTCGTCGGCGTCGTCGTTGTTGTCGCTGCTACAAAAGAGTTCATCAGCTGTGAAGCTGTCAACGCCAGCGTCTAATCGAGTCAACAGTTGCCATAAACAAATTACGAACAGATCAACTGCGGCTGCCACTAGTCAAGTGCCTAAAAATAAACCCAAAATCTACATGAAGACCATAAAAATGGGGGCAAACGAGGCGACGGTTTACGGAAATACAGAAACGAAATTATTTATTGAAGTCGCCAACGCAGCGACCAAGCGCACAACAATAACAACAACAGCAACAAGAGCAACAACGAACGTGTCAAAATAAACAAACATTGTGCAAAAGACAACAAACAAATCGCTCGACGACGCTGATAAACGCAGAATAAGTTGAGATACACGAGCGCTGCAAAACAATCTCTATCGATAATGGTGACCTTTAGACCTTTATGCTATACGCAAAGATCCATACCATATACAATATTATATTGCAGTACGAAACAGCTCAACTATTGCCAGAGGGTCTTAACTTCGCAATGTTTAGTTGCCCAAGAATATGCATATTGCACATAGTTTGTGTATAAAACATATAGAAAAAATTAATAAAAAAATATGATAAATAAAATCATAATATTAGGGTCTTGACAAGCCCTAAATATATAAGCCTATATCAGAATTTATTTCTAATAACTTAAACAAATAGGAAAGAAGGATCGGAAAATGCATTGATAAAGGCTAGTGGCTGCTGGCTGTCTCGCAAAAGAGTTTAGTTAGTACAGTTAATTAAATGCTTAGTTATTGGACTATTTGGAATATTTATATGTATAGGAAATTAACATGTGCAACATATTTAGAATATGTGGAACTTGCATACAAAAGTAATCTGTCGTCACGCTCTTTTGCTGACTTTCTGTGCTCACATTAATCAACTAAAGCCCATGTTTCAGCCTGTTCCAATCAATTTGAGCTTTTAAGTTCAAATGCAAATGCTTTGACCATTGTGTTTGGCTGCACAAAAAGAAAGAAAAGTAAGATAGGTTCGTTCCGGCATTCAAACACAATTACGCAAATGTCAGTCGTTCACCTTTTTGTATTGGGTAACACAATCGCCCCGTTGAATCGCACCCCAAACGTCCCCTGTTCGTTGCTGGAGACGCTGCTGCTTGTGCCTTGGGGCAACAGCTGGCAGGTTTCAACGGCTGCCGCACCTTGACTTGGAACTGTGCAACAACTGGCTCCAGCTCCACTTTCAACTCTGGCTGCTCCGCTGCCGCCCGACTGCAGTCAGTCATATGAAACGGCCACATGGCAGCACAAGCGTTGGCGTTGGCGAAATTTCCCTTGGCTCCAGGTTCGCTTCTAGAGAAAACTGCAATCGCATTTGCACTGCAGCTGGAGCTGAAGACTAGCTATTAAGTTGGCCACGCTTGGCCAGTCTCTAGTGCACTCCACTCACACACAATTCTTACCCACGCTGTCTGCTGGCAGGGGGCCGGTTGCCTGTCAAATGTCTCCCAACTTTGCCAAGGCCAATGAACTGCGCTCTCTGTTACTCCACATTAATCTACACAATCCACGCAACAAAAACCGCCCAATGTACACGGCATTCAACTCGCATTTGGGGCCAAGAACTCGCCGCGTTTTGGCCATGAATAAACGGCTTTTGACGTCATCAAAATGATTAGAAAAACGTAACAGAAGCTGCCACGCCAACGGAAGCCATTAGATGTTAGGCGGCGTGGTGAGGGGGCAGCAGCTTGTGGGCCTAACATTCCAAGCAATTAATAATAATTTCCGCTGCTCAAACAAAAAAAGAAAAAAAAAAAATGGAAAAAAGCCAAGTTAAAAAGCTTCTGCAGCCGCTTGACCATATGCATTGTTGTTGTTCTTGTTATTGTTGTTGCTGTTGCTGCTGCTGCTGTAAAGCTCCGAATTCATGACTCTATTTGACGGATGCTGAAACGGGACTACAAAAAATAGCAGCTGCTGCATATGGTTTTCTTTTTGTTGTGTTTTAACTTTTTGCTCAAAACTTTGTCTTGGTGTCTGGCCTTTGGTTCTTGTCTCCGGTTGCTGCTTTACATAACCATCAGCAGCAACTACCCGGCTTTGACCGGACCAGCTTCATTTTTTAAATTTTGTAAATTATTTTCCACAAATTTTTCGCTTGAGCTTCCATTACCACTCTGTGGCGTGGAATTTCCACAATCGCTGAATTAGTTTTTTAAAAACTAAGACAAGAATTGGCGTTGAAAGAGACATTCTGTCGTTGCTTTTGTTTTCGCTCATATAAATTTTTGCCCGTATTTTATAATCAGAACGGCTTTAAATAAGTCTCAAAACTTTGGCTCACAAATTCTACACAATTGTAGAAACCGTCTTATCTTATCCGCAAATGCCTTAGTCGTTTTCCGCTTATATTCCACAGTTGCGTGTGGATTTTCTCCGTCCTATCGTTTAAAGTTTAAAGTTCATATGTTCAAATGAACTCCATGAAAAACTAGAAATTCCCAAACGCATACCCGCAGCTTTTACTATACAAAAGCTATAATTTTTTAATATTATAGACATGGGCACATGCATAGCTGCTGCTGCTGCTTCTTCTTCTTCTGCTTCATTGAGTGGTTGGTAACCCCATATTAACTACTTAAGACTGGGCGTTACGCACCACAATTCACGCCTAATGAAACGCACCACAAATGCTCACTGAACTAAAGCAAACGAAACCAAACGAAACCACAAATCGAATTAAAATTCCAAATATGTTAAGACATAATACCCTGGGCATAGCCCCATTAATCTTCGTGGTGCTATCCAGAAGCGCAGCAAGAACTGCATTGCATCGATTGTTGATAGGCCAACAACCACTGCAACAACAACAACAACAACAACAACAGCAACAACAATCATAACAATAACCATGGCAACTAAAAAAGCAGACAACTCTTTTGGCCACTGTTACTGGCCATGCATGACTTGAAGTTTGTTGGAGCGCTTAACCCAAATAAAAGCAAAACAATGTGAGGGAACATAACTTGAAAAGGTCGACAAATGAACACCCTTGCGCATGCAAGTACACTATAAGTTATAAATGTAATTTACAGAATACATATAGATTTAGCTGTCGCTTATAAATTTCTTTGTGAAATATTTGATTAAAAGTATGAAAGAGTCTTGCATCTCATGAAATTCTATCATGTATATAACAAGTTTGAGTATAAACTAATCAAATTATTGTCTATCAAATTTATCGTAGTGTGCGTTATAAAATTCATAAGAATGACAAGCTTTACAGTTCATATACTAAAATATAAATATGCAAAAAAAATTATAAAGGCTTATCCTTAGAAACTAAGTGCCTAATATTTAATACCTAGACACAAAATGATGCCATCCTGATACATCAAAAAGAGAATTAAGAAGCTACAAAAGCAGGTCGCGGCTGGGTTCAGGGTATTTACTAGTCGGTCTCTAGCGATTTACTATAAATTTTTAAATTCCTATAAATACTGCTCCGATTTGAGTACGATAAACTACTTTGATCTTAGTTTGGTCCCCTCCAAAAGTTGGCATCTTAATTTTTAGCAATTTATGAGCGCAATCTTATAAGGATCAGACTACTATATCATATAGCACATAGTTAAAGCTCCTCATATCGAAGTTTGGGTCATATGAAAAGTTGTCGTTGTGGATGACAACAATGCGAGCGAAATAACAAGAGACCAATGCGCTATTGCGCCGCCGAGCCGCCGAGCCGCAGACTCGCTTTAATCAGCGCTTTTCGAATTGACAAAACAATTGCCGGCCGGCACAGTCCACTGGTGCTCCCTGCTCCATGTCCCCCGCCCACCCTCGTGCCCCTCCCATCCTGCAGCCAGTTCGTAGAGTTACCCCAGAAATGTTGAAAACTTGCTGAGTTTTCAATTGAGCACAAAGCGAAGTCGCTGCTTGTTGTTGGCCAACGGTGTCAGCAGGGGTGGGAGGGGTGTTCAATTTGTTTGGTCAGCTGGAGTAAGGGGTTAAGGGGAGGGGGGGGGGGGTCACAGTCTATTGTTGTTGTTATGGAGCGCAGCTTTGGGGAGTGAGGCAGCTGCCGAAGTATGCGTACACAGTGGGTTAAGTGCGTTTTAT